CACACACACACATATCCAACGGATCGCATAAACACATATATGATCAAAGCGTCACGCGAACGATAAACAAACATGACACACCTGCGAACACAGATGTTCCATTGTTTCGCCACAGTGATTAATGACCTTTTGTTTTCTTGTGGGCGCCTTCTCTGCTTCTCAACTTCACCAAATGATGGACGAAAAGCAAAAAGAAAGGGGAAAAAAAACAGGCCGAATGTGCATAAATCCAGTCAAACTGCTGTGCACTCCAAATATTTGGGTGTGTGTGAGGGCGCCTGCCAAAAACGCCTGTGTGTTCAATATGCTGTATATCACACTTTGTGTTTTAGCTGACTGTGTTAGCTGGGGTTTGCAGCGCCGTCAACACAATGATAAAATATGCTTACATTTGGAAATTACCTAAACAAGTAGTCATGACTAAGCAAAGTTTGGGTGAATGTAGCCACACCCAAACAGCAGATTTAACAAATATTGTTCGGATTAAGAATGTGCACGCTATATGCATGTGTGTGTACCGTGATTTTGTTGCCATTTTAAGACCTTTTCTGGTATTACCTACCCTGTCAGGACCCATAGTCCTTATGGGGACCAAAGACCAAATGAAATGGGTGAACATCATTTTGGGGGTAGGGGTTAGGTTCAGAGTGAAGGTATGATTTGAGTTTTAATGTTTGAGTTAGGGTTAGGTTAGTACTGGTAATGGTTAGGTTAGGGTCAGGGTTAGGCTACTGGAATATACGGAAGTCAGTACAATGTTATAAAAAATGAAGAAATATGAATTTGGTAGAGCTGCTGCCTCTCAGCTAGCAGGTCATCCCAGTTCAAATCCCAGTCCGGTGGCCTTTTTGGGTGGAATTTGCATGTTCTCTCCGTGCATGCATGGGTTTTCTCCAGGATTTCCTCCCACAGACCAAAAACATACCTGTTAGGCAGATTGGTGACTACATTGTCCCTAGATATAAGTGAAGAGAGTGAATGATTTTTTTGTCTCTATGTGTCCCTGTGATGGACTGGAGACCTGTCCAGGGTGTCCCCCACCTCTCGCACAATGATGGTTGTACATGGGCACCCTTAACCCCCACGATCCGAAAAGGACGACGTAGGTAAAGATGATGGATGGATGACTTTCTGTCTTTGTATTTGTCACCTTGTATGGTCCATTTTTGGAACACGTACTACATTGTAAGAACCAACTGTTCTTTTTGGGTCCCAGGCTTTGGGCCCCATAAGACAAAGTACTGTTGGTGGGTTAGGGGTTAGGTTTAGGACTATGGTGTGAATTGAGAATGGGTTAGGTTTAGGGTTAGGTATGTACTGGCATTGGTTAGGTTTAGGGTAAGGGTCATGGTTAGACTATAAAATGAATGCAAAAGGAATGGAAGTGTCAATGCAAGTCCCTGTAAAGATAGAAAGACAAACATGTGTGTGTATGTAATTCATTATTAAGCAAAAACGCTGCTACTGTATGAGTGTACAGGAAGGGAGTGTGGGGAAGTCAAAACATTGGGCGCCCATCCTGTTTAGGACAGTCCATGTCCTGCGATGGTGCACTTAACGTCTAAACACACACACTCATGCAAACACTGACATGCAGCCACACACCGGATAATCCTCCCATATGTGCTAACAGTATGCTGAAGTGTATTGGAAACACATGTAGGAGGCAGAACAGGTGCACACCTGTTACACATTGGAGTGCACGCGCCGTCCGCCCACACAGGCTGAGGAGTAAATGAAGATCAAACGAAGTCTCTTTTATGCACATACATTAAAACATGCAGAATGGTGCTGCAATGAACACGGATGTCATCGTTCCTTGGAAAAAAAAGGGTGATGGAACACATTCAAAGTGTTTAAACGTTAATTGCTCTTAATCCTGTTTAGCTAAAAGCCTGCCACCTCCAGTTCGTCGCTCGGTTTGTCAAAAGGATTGTCTCCTACATTTATGGGATTTTGCAGAAATTTGCAGACAGCCAAAATTCATGCAACCTTTTTTTTTTTTTGCTGGTCAGAACCCTTTTTTTTCTTCTTGATATTGAGACACCTATGTTTAGTCTTGTTTTTCACATGCACTGATTAGGTTTATTTGCTTTTTTGTTGTTCCCAGGAAATTCTAGGAGGAGGCCACCTCAGAAGTTTACTAACCCTCAGCCGAGACACTAAAGAATGGCATAACTTCACACACACTGCTGGTATTTCTCTACTGTTGTTGAATATTAACACAGTCTACTGTTCTTGGAGTATGTGTTGGTGTAACTTTACAAAACAGCTTGAACACATTTAACTTTTTCTCACCCATACCAAAAGGTAAAAAGAGGATAAAGATTTTGTCAGTGTCTGCACGTGTGTTGGCTTTATTTTGGTCTGTCATAGTAAAAAAATATTTTATGAACTGAACTATTTAATGAAACTTTGCATAGTCAGCCCAATTAAAGATGGCTGCCACAGATTTTTGACTTTAATAAAGACAAAAATTGTTTTCTTTTGTAGAATGCAAAACCTTTAATTTTAAGTTTTTTTTTAATTAAACTGTACCTTATTTAAGTCATCACTCATCTGCCTATCTTCTTCTTTTTTTACTTTCTTTATAGAGGATGGATTCTCCACCAGAGTGTGTGTTGGCTCTTTCTTGTGAACAGCCCCATTCACCCCAAACGCTGCCATCTCTGGACCACAGTCCCCAAACTTCATCTCCTCTACCTGATAGTCCTGTTGTCCTGCCCATTCATAGCCCGGAACCATCCCCGCAGAGCCCCGACACAACGCCGTACTTCCCCCTCTCTCCCTTCCCCCTCCAAGAGGACAATAACAACAACTGCCTCAATGTTGATGGACAAGAGTGCGAAGAAGAGCTAGATGGAATTCCTCCATCCCCGACACCAGCGGTGGCTTTGTTTCCAGGGGGAGGGGCTCAAGAAGCTGGACGTAGCCCTGGTTTTGACTCCTCTCCACCGGATACACCTTCAGCTCCATTTCTTGGGTACGGTGCCCTGGAGCTGGCCCTTTCTTCAGGGCCAAGTGGAAACTGCGGCGACGAGTTAGACCTCCAGCTGTTCCAAAAAGAAACTGTCACCAGGTCCATACCTGGAGTTGGAGGGGCCTCGCCTGGGCCTGCGCTCAAGTTTCCCTGTCATGTTTGCGGGAAGAGGTTCCGATTCCAAAGTATTCTGTCTCTTCACGCTCGAGCTCACAGTTTGGACCGAGAGCGCAGAGCTTCATCCCTATACCGGACTAGACCTTCCTCATCTCCCCTTAAGCACCATCTTAAATTTCAGCAAAACCACAGAGACTTCATACCGAATCATAGAAGTCACACCAACCAGCGTTTGCTACCAAGAACTCTGATCCAGCACCTCGCAGAAAAAGAAGTTGTTAATGGTGAGGATAAAAGTTTAGACGACCAGAACCCAAATTTTTTAATGAATGAGAGCACACCCTTGACCCCTCCCCTTACAGAGGACCCTGTGTCAGTGACCTCTCCCTACTCTGCTTCTGGTGAGACCTCGTCTCTTTCTACGGCACCTACGTTTCGCTGCCATGCCTGCAAAGGAAAATTCCGCACAGCTTCAGAGTTGGCACGTCATGTCCGTATTCTCCACAACCCTTACAAATGCACCCTTTGCCCTTTTTCTGCCAGCCAAGAAGAGAGTCTGGCAAGTCACTTACAAGAGTGCCACCCATCTCCCGAGGTACCTGCTTTGACAACAACCTTTAACTGTAGAACCATTATTGACACACCAGTACCCACCCCGACAAATACCCCAGCCACAACCCCAAGTAACCCTCAGTTGACTTCAGCTGTGTCCTCCTCACTGCCAGCTTTTCGCTGCGATACGTGTGGCCAGAGGTTTACCCAGTCTTGGTTCCTGAAAGGACATATGCGAAAGCACAAGGATTCTTTGGACCATAAGTGCCAAGTGTGTGGCCGTGGCTTCAAGGAGCCTTGGTTCCTGAAAAACCACATGAAAGTTCATCTCAACAAGCTTGGTCTGAAGGCTGGATTGGGAACCTCCGGGGTACTTGGGGGTGTTGAGGATCAGTCCAAAGGCTCTGCTAGCAATCAGTCTCTTAACACTCTCTACTCGAGCCTTCTTCTGGCTCAGCGAGGTGGTGGAGTCAGAGGTAGACAAGGCAGGTCTGCTAGGGAAACTGGGGGTAGAACTGAGATGAACTTAAGCAAGTCAGCCATACTGGGATATCTTGGCTTGCCCAGTGATGGCAGTGGGGCCAGCTGCATGGAGAGACTTCAGGCTGTGGCTCAGGTGGCAGAGATGGGAAATAGTAGTGGTGTGGTCAACTCAGGAGGAGGAGACCAAGTTAGTGGAGTGGGAACCACTAGAGGCGAAACCGCTGCAACTATTTCAGATGGCGGGGACCAAGCAACTTGGTGGCAGCTGGTTGCTCGAAGCCTGGCAGTGGCTCAGCAGCAGCAGCAGCAGAGGCCCCAGCAGCGAGGCCAGCGGTCTCAAGGTCGAAGTTCAGTAATTGCAGAGGCCGACCAAGCCAGAGCCTACCGCTCGAGCCTGGATATTAGAGGTGAGATGGGAGGGCCGTGGGAATGCCCAGACTGTGGAAAACTGTTCCGCAGCCTGCAGCAGGTGGTGGTGCATGCTCGCGTTCACGCTCAGAGGTCACAGAAAGGAGGTAGCAGTGAAGAGGAGGGGACTGGTAGTCACAGAGGAGCGGGGCTCGGAAGAGGAGGTGAAGCAAGACCAGAATCCCAGCAACATCTTGGTGGATCCCAACAAATGGGAGAAGTAAGACAGGAATCCAAGCTGAACAGTGGTGGATCACAGCAAGCAGGAGCAGTCAGTGGGTTTCACTCTGTCATTTCCAACTTCAAAGGTACCACAGCTGCATTTTATCTGTGTTCTGCATTTAGTTTGCTTACATCTAATATGTTATGTTAATGTGTTATTATTTCTTGAATATACTGTAATTTTTCACTGGTCTTCTATTAAATATAGAAGTTCTGTTGGGACACCAATTGTTACGTTTACATTTTGATCTTTTTCCTGTTGTTTTCAGGTGAAAACGGCTTCACAGCAGTCTCCTCCTTACACTCAATTCCCAGCAGGGAGCGAGTGCGTGGCAGAGGGATAAAAGACTGCCCCTACTGTGGCAAAGCCTTCCGCTCCTCACACCATCTCAAAGTGCACCTGAGGGTTCACACAGGTGAGACATTGCTGCAAGTTTAACAAGCCTCATTTTGTTTTTTTCAACCTTTTAAAAATCCAACCATCTTTACCATCCGTCCATCCAGCCATTTTGTTCCGCTTATTCGGGGTCGGGTCGTGGGGGTAGTAGCATAAGTAGGGAGGCCCAGTCTTCCCTCTCCCCAGCCACTTGGGCCAGTTCCTCCGGGGTAATCCCAGGGCATTCCCAGGCCAGCCAAGAAACATAGTCCCTCCAGCATGTCCTGGGTCTTCCTCTGGGTCTCCTCCTGGTGGGACGTGTCTGGAACACCTTAACCAGGGAGGTGTGCAGGAGGCATCCTAATCAGATGCCCGAACCACCTTAACTGGCTCCTCTCGAAGTGGAGAAGCAGCGGCTCCACTCTGAGTCTCTCCCGGATGACCATTATCTTTATCCGCTTCTTAATTTTTGGGTTGCGGGGGTCACTTGTGCCCATGTCCAGCAGTCACTGTGCGAGAGGCGGGGGACACCCTGTACAGGTCTCCAGTCCATCACAGGGACACAGAGAAACAAACAAGACAAACAACCGTTAACTCTCTCACTCACACCTAGGGATAATTTAGAGTTACCAATCAGTCTAATCAGTTTTTGGTCTGTGGGAGGAAACAAGAGTACCCGGAGAAAGTCCACGCATACATCGAGAGAACATGCAAACTCCATGGAAAAAACTGATTCTGCATTGTCGCTTTTCCAGAATTATCTCTTTACTTTTTTTTTTTTTACATTCACTCCCAAGAGCAGGCCAGTGCTAATCATAGCTCTCCACTGCAGGCAACAGAGCGGCTTCACTGGAGCACTACCTGCTTAAGAGCAGAGCTCAAGTTTATATTAACAATGGTTTCTAGGGGGAGAAATCAAGTCACGCCTGGGATTTAAAACTAGGAAGCTTCTTTTACTGGTCCATAGCCTCTCCTTCATATCAAGGTCAAGAAAATATTTTCTTTCTCGCCATTCAAACAATCCCAGTTCTCTTTCATTTAAGCGCATAACTCACAACTGTTCAAACGATTAAAGTTTTAAAGAAACTAGGTCAAATTCTTCTGAACAATAAGTCAGGCGTACTTCCAAGTCTTTCCAATCTCCTAATGAAGACTTTTCATCTGTTGAAGCTGTAAAACGTTTGGTTTTTGACATTTTTGTGAAGTCTTGATAGGAGTCAAGTGATCTTAGAGTAAGTTTTACAAAATGCGTTAACTTTGTTTTGAACACATTGTGACACAAAAGCTGTTTGGTGCTGAAACTGAGCATTGATGGATTAAACCTAAACTGTCACCTTTTGTGTCACAGTTTTAGACTACTCAGCTTATGTTGAAAAATGACAGAGTTGTAGCAGCTTTAGTCAAATCTTGAAAATAACATGCAATATTGCAAGTCTTGCTTAGAGTATGTTCTGTAAATGACATCCACGTACTGTCACGTCAAATTTGAGCTCAATATTTGTCAAATTTACTGATTTAGAGCCATTTGTGCGTTAGTGTTGATTAGCTGTGCTGACCGCCCTGGATTGAATTTACTCCAAAAGTCTGTCATTTCTATATGTGCCATGAGTGAACACCTGATAAATTTGTGCAGTAGTTAAGACATATTTTGCTAACAGACAAAGAGTGCTGACACTAACTGCTAATGCTGAAGTTCAGTTCAATACAGTTTATTTATATGGTGTTAAGTCAGTACAGAAGTTGTCTCAGGGCACTGAACAGAAACATTTGCGTACATAAAAGCCAGTTAGTAAAAGTTATCTATCTAAGGAAGCAGCAGATTGTGTTGAAGAGTTAGTGGGAGAGATCATATCTCTCCAGTTTTAGCTTCTCTCCATTGGCTCTCTGTTAAATTCAGAATTGAATTCAAAATCTTACTTCTAACCTACAAAGCCCTCAACACCCTAGCTCCATCTTATATTCTAGATCTTATTGTTCCATATTTTCCTAACAGAGCACTTCACTCTCAGACTGCAGGTTTACTTGTGGTTCCTAGAGTTTCCAAAAGCAGAATGAGAGGAAGATCTTTCTGTTATCAGGCTCCTATTTTGTGGAACCAACTTCCAGTTTCTGTTTATGAGGCTGACACATGATCCAGTTTTAAAACTGGTCTTAAGACTTTCCTTTTTGATAAATCCTATAGTTAAGGTTGGCTTGTTATGGAACGAAACTATGTACATAGAGTCCCAGTTACGTCCAACAAAAATACAAATTGTAAAGAAAAACATTAGTAAGATCCGAGACATGAACTAAGAATATACTACATTCACTAAACTAAGAATACACAAAACTAAGAATACACTAATAGTACAAAAACAATGCACCAAAACAAGGACAGGAAGGAGGAAGAGACGAACATGGAATGGCAGGTCCAGACGTACTTTCTATAGGAGGAACGAAAAAAAACATGTTAAGATAGAAATAATTATAAATACAAACAGGTAGAGTACAACAAGTAAATACATCAGCAGAGTGAGGACATGTGGTCAGTTTGTTTTCCAGCAGTCTAAGTCTATAGTAGCATAACTATGGGATAGCTCAGGAAACCTAAGCCAACCCTAACTATAGGATTGATCAAAAATGGAAAGACAAACCTAGTCTTAAAAGTAGACAATGTGTCAGCCTCGCAGATAGAAGTTGTAGGCAAACATCTTATGTAACAAATAGCCTTCGGAGTATGTGCTGTGAATGACTCTTAGCTACAACCACACCCAAAGTGAGCCTCTATATCTACAAACTGGCTGAATTATAGTCATCTCTGTGTTTCTGACATTAGTTGGCTGTAAAGGCCATCTTGTACTGAATTGGCTCCAGACCTTAATGGGCTGTAGAAATACGTTCAGTACTTGTTTTCTAAAAGATTCATTAAAATTTGTAGAGTAGGTGATGAGATATTTTGCTAACAGACAGAGTTGAGGCTTAATAGTTGGAGCAAGGGCCAAATTTTAAACGGATCTTGTACAATATTTTAGCACGTATGGTTTGAAAATCAGTTTCAACATTATCACACTAAACTTAATCTCGGTATTTGTACAATTGACTGACCTATAGCCATTTTTCTGTTTTTAAGGTCAGTTGGCTCTGGCAGCCATTTTGACTGAGGTTAACGCCAAAAGCTAATCAGTTATAGAGGCACATAAATTGCATCTTCTCTGTACGTTCCATTAAAATTTGTCTAGTGATTCATGAGATATTTTGTTAACAGACAAGCACACACAAGTATGCACCTTGTCTTTTTGTCTGCGAGCAGTAAAATCCTGAATCTCCTGCAATGCTAACTCACACTGTTAATGATCCGTATGCATGACGTGTCTTTTGATTCGGTTATTTGTATTTTCTTCACCAGGTTTGTTTGCGCCATATTAAAACATCTCTTCCGTCTCTGAAATGCCGCCAGCCTGCATCACTTATAGCTGGAGAACCTCTAGTCATTATTCATCTGTAGCTGATGAGTCGTATCGCATTGCTATTCTATTTTTCATGATGAGATTTATTTATTTATTTATTTTTAGTCTTCTGCGGTCAGGCATTAACGTCACACGGCAAATAAATGGTAGCACTCATTTGGGAACAGCATCTCCATGTCCTCCCAGACTAACATCCCATCTCTGCTCTTTGTTCCTGCTCCTAGCTCAATGCTAATGCGTATTCAGATATTCTGAAGCTGTAAATAGGATCTCTTACACTTTTCATATGTGACACAGTTGCTGTAGTTGATATGCAGCATCGTCCTCGTCTTGTTCCCAGCTGTGTTGTTTTCATCAGGAATGGAATGCTGCCATCTTCCGTAAAATGATGCAACTACAGCCGCAGGTTTACATTTGTGTATCCACTCATTATGAACAAGAACGTCATTTTAATTCGGGCTTTTTAATGTTTTATTTGAATCCGTTTTCCAGGATGGAATGAGTACACAATTTACAATTTCAATATTTTATTAAAACGTGAAATAGGTGCACAGGTTTGCGTTTACTGTTGATTTTCTTTATAGCACGGAAGATCTAATTATTTTTACAGGCTCAGCTTTATACATTTTTTTTTCTCCTCCTCCATCTCACTCTGTCCTCTGCATCCTCTGTCCTCACTCCATCTACCTCCATGTCCTCTCTAACTGCATCCATATATCTCCTATTTGTCTTTTTACTGGCAGCTGCATTTCTAACATCCTTCTACCAGTATACCCACTGTCCCTCCTCTGGACATGTCCAAACCATCTCAGTCTGTCCTCCCTAACTTTATCTCCCAGTTGTTCAACCTGTGCTGTACCTCTGATGATCTCATTCCTAATCTTATCCATCCTTGTCACTCTTAAGGAGAACCTCAACATCTTCATTTCTGCCACTTCCAGTTCTTTCTCCTGTCTTTTTGTCATTGCCACTGTCTCCAGTCCAGACCATACAACATAGATGGTCTCACCACTGTCTTATAAACTTTTCCTTTGACATTTACTGACACCCTTATGTCACAAATCGCTCCTGAAACCTTTCTCCATCCACTCCATCCTGCCTGGACTCTCTTCTTCACCTCTTTACCACACTCCCCATTTTCCTGGACAGTGGACCCCAAGTACTTGAAGTCCTGCACCTTTGTGACCTCTGCTCCTTGTAGCCTCACTGTTCCTCCAGCCTCCCTCTCATTCACACACATGTACTCTGTCTTTCTACAGCTGACTTTCATTCCTCTTCTTTCATGTGCATCCCTCCACCTCTCCAAGTTCTCTTTCACCTGCTCCCTGTTTTCACCACTGATCACGTCAGTTGCAAACATCATAGTCCATGGGGATTCCTGCCTGACCTCATCTATTAGTCGGTCCATCACCAGAGCAAACAAGAAGGGGCTCAGAGCCGATCCTTGATGCACTCCCACCTCCACCTTGAAGCTATCTGTCACTCTAGAGCCCATCTCACCACTGTCCTGCTGTCCTCATGCATGTCCTGTACCAGTCTAACATACTTCTCTGTCACTCCAGATTCCCTTGTGCAATACCACATTTCCAGCTTCATTTATCAAATTTGACTTTGTTTATTTTTCTCTCTGTAGGTGAGAGACCATACAAATGCCCTCACTGTGACTATGCAGGGACTCAGTCGGGCTCTCTGAAGTACCACCTCCAGCGACACCACAGAGAGCAACGCAATGCCTTATCAGCCTCCTCCAATTCCTCCTCTGGTTTCTCTTCCACCATCAGCACTTTAACATCTGGGACTTCCGGACTGGCCAAACAGCGTAGATCGCAACACAATCACAGCCCGGTCAGCCAAGCCTCAGCCGACACGCCCACAGCACGGCCCAGCCAGCAATCCTGGCTCCTGGGGCTTCCAGACCAGCGCGGGCATCGTAAGGCTTTGGCAGCTCTAAGGGACGTGGACTTGGAAACCCAGTACAGGTATCTGTCTGGGGTAATGGGGGCTTTTTACCAAGGAGGAATGGAAGGAAGAGGCTGGATTAGGGAGTCTCCTCCACCAAAGACCCCTAAAGTGTCTCGGCGTAAGCCCCTAACTACAAGCCGGATGGTTCAGCCACCAAGTGAGAAAGACGGACCAGTTTCCACAACTCAAGATGGCGGATTTGAACCTTTGGATCTTTCCCGTCGCACTTCACCAGGCCCTGGAGAGATGGAGGAGAATGAAAGCATGAGTGCAGTAGACAGAGGAGTTGTTTACGGTGGAGATGGTGGAAGTGATAGTTTGACAGGGGTCAAACTTAGTCAGTGTTTGTTCTGCCCTTTCCATACTTCTTCAGCAGAGCTGATGGCCATGCATGTACAAGTCAACCACACCAGTAAGTCCAGGCGCAAGAGAAGTTCCTCAACTTTAATGAACAGTGGAACCCAAAGGGCTGCCAGGCCATTGATGGACAACTTGGACCATGACCCTCTGAGATTATGGAGGCGTGTGAGTGAAGGAGAGCCCCAGATCCCTCTGAGGGAGTGGCCCTCAGCTCAGGTCCAGACCCTTAATGGTCACCCTGAACATACAGCAGAGCACCTGCGTAATGCTCTTCACAACGCAGAGTCCATGTCTTCAGTGTCAAAGAATGTAATAGACGGACCATCAGTAAAAGAGACGAGAGAAGAGGACAAAGACGAACACGAGGAGGAATTTGAAGAGAGCTTGGAGGACAGCAGTGTGGAGGATTTGCAAGACCGGGAACTGAGGATGTCTCTAGATCTTTCACCAGCCCTGAGCTCCAACCACATGACAGCAGAGGAGGAGAGAGTCTTAACAGATTAAAGTTTTATTTAAACTGGAGAGCTACGTTCGAAGTTTGGAACTCTATATGCTACAGAATTAAAGACAAGGCGAGTTGCCGAGAAACAAAGTTATCGAAGCTCTGACCCTTCATACTTTTGTTTTTCAGAAAATGTCTTGAATATTCATTTTCCAGAAGACGAAGGGGGCGAGGGGAAGAATCGCCCCCGGCATTATTTCTTTGGCATTATTTGCCTACTTGAGTGTTGACTGTGGGAGCCTTCAGAAAGTAGTCAAATTTCCATAATAAAAACAGCATGGATCTGTATATTTTGGGGGGAGATGTTTTTGTAGGCCAATTTTGTATTTCCCCCCATGATTAACCACAAAGTTCATGTCTTTTAAGGTTATAATCAGTTTGATCGGTGAAAGAAGCACTGTTTAAGGGTCGAGGGCAAACCCTGCATCATTCCAGAGCAATGTAGACCAATAAATGAGCTGTGTATTCCTGATCACCTTACCAACCTGATAACTGTCCTGAATGATCAGCTTCCTCCCAAAACCATGACTCAACACGGGAGGAAGGTTCGAAACTGTTAGTGTAAAGCATGACGCTCCCTCACTTAGTGTCACTGCCTTGTTTTTCAGCAAAGAGTTTCTCAATGACTGCCACTAAAGAAAAACCGAAAGAAGAGTTTGTACATTTATTTTGTTGTTCTCGGTTAGTGCCTGTTCATGTATGTTGTCAAAAGAGTCTCTGACAGATAGGTCATTCATTTTATCTGAATATACAGTTTTAAACACTTTTAAGTACAATATATTTGGTAAAAGTGGTTCTAGGGTGTTGTGAATAGTTAAGTTGTAAAAGAAATACTATGTCATAGTTCTTGCTACAGACTGTAGCTGTCTGTAGCGCTGTTTGACAAAAACAAAAAAAAAAGTAGGTGATATAATGTGATGAAATGTTTAAAAGCTAAGAGATAGAAAGAGGTCGCTGTTCTGCTTCTTGTGTTTACATCGGTAGCCAGTGGTGGTTTGTCACGGTGAACGAATTACAAAGTAAGGAGTCATTTGAGGGCTGTAGGGGGACCGGGCTCCTAAACACAATCAGCTGGCACATTGTTTTAAAGAGACTTTAGCAACTGTGTCATAAAAAAGGACACTTCATTTAACAAGATAGACATTACAAAAAAAGAAAATAAAGAATTGCTGCCAGCCAAGACAAAAACTGAGAAATAAGCTGTACTCTTGGCTTATAATGTCTTTTAGACAAGTAGATTCCCTCTTTTTTTTAATAAAAGCAAAAGACAAAGGTAGAAGTACATAATAAAACACTAACAATCTTAGATATCCCAGTAGAAATTGTGTAGCTTTTGTAAAGACAAAAAAAAAGAGAGACTTTTGTTTATTTTCATTTCAAAATGCTTACAAAAAAGATTATCAATAGAGGTAATATTGATTATAATGTTTGTGAGCTAAAAATTAATTGGAATGTCTATACAGAGCACTGTGCAAGGTTTAAGTTTCCAAAGTAGTTGTTTTTTGTTGACTTTATCGATAGACCAAACTTTGTTTTCCTCAATGGCAGTTGTCACTTTCTGTTGTCATTTTAAATGTGTAAATGTGTGGTTTTACTTCATGTACCCCAGCAGTTAGCAACTTGTTCATCAGTGTAACGGATTCATATTGAACTGGATTTATTTAAAACTTGAAATTTTCTGCGGTTTGTACTTCCAGTCCACACACCAATGGAATATGATGAGAAAAACATCTTTTAAAAACCCTTTCCAAGTTAGAGATTTTTTTTTATATCTGGTGTTTGACTTTTCCTAGTATAGACCCGTCACGATAACAAATTTTGCTGGGCGATTAACTGTCTCAGAAATTATTGCAATAAACGATAATATTGTTTGAAATTTGACAATAATTAGTAATTGTCAAATTTAAGAAGAAATTTTGGTAAATTTTTGTGTGTAGTACCTTTTTTGTTCACTAGATGGCAGTATAAGAGTGTTTGAACCGAAGGATGGATTGTGAGGGAGCGAGTAGTGTGTCTCTTTAGGAAAAATGGGAGGGAGGCCCCTTGACGTGACATGGGCTGTCTCGCTTTCCTTTTTTTCGGTTCTCAAAATGACGGACTCTCTGTGTGGTTTGAGCTCTTTAGCATAGCATTTTTCAGACAAAGCTTTTAATAAAAAATCGGTAAACAAGTTTTCAGCTACTTTTTGCATAGAAAAACAACTTTTTATGTGAATCCACTGGTTTCAATTGTGAATTTTGGAGCTTCGACAAGACCGAGGATTTTCCCCCGAAGTTGGCCTGTTAGCTTAGCTCGTAGCTCAGCTTCTCAACTTAGCTGCTTTTAACGATCCAAAAACATGATTTTGGATGGTTAAAACAAATTTTAAAGAGAAAAGAGAAAGGGAAGGGTCAGTGAAGAGCACCGGAGTTGAGCTTTTTATCATCCAGTGTCTTCAGTAGAAAGACAGAAACACGAAGAAATGATAAAGCTGATAAATGAAAATGAGATCAATAATTTTCATTCATCATGCGATTACTTGATTTATTGTTTATTGCGACAGGCCTATCCTAATGCAGTGTTTCCCCTAGTTTACTTACCTTGGCAGGGCGCTCATATTTTCAGCGATTGTTGTCAATGGGGGTGGAGACAGAGACGTATGTCCATGTTGCGTGCTGTTTGTACAGACAGCTTTCGAGCGGGGGAGATGGAGATAACTCAGCGTGAGTGGAGACAGAGTGCTACCTCCATAGTCATAGCCTTTTAGCTAGCACATCTGTATTGCGTGTTGCTAGCTTAGCGCTACATCTGTGCCAGTAGTTGTGATAGAGGGAGGAGTTCTGTAGGCGGGGCGCTCCCTGCTTGTATAATGGTAGGGAAAGCACTGCTAGTGGATTAAAGATACAGTCAGAACTTTTCAAAAACAATGACGTAGCTTCGCGCTTGGCAAATGCCAAATTTTAAATTTGTGCCAAAGAAACCAAAACAAAAGCATTTTTAAATTTGATCCTTTTATCATCAAAGTGTGACTGTTTGTTCAAGGGCTAATTCTAAAAACTTATTGTAAGCAATACAAAAGAGAGAAACGAGAAAAAGCTGTACTCTGTACTTGGATATGCTGTTAGTGCTGACTAGATGTTTGACGTTCACGAAGAATCTAAACGTTTGAATGACTTTTTAAAATATACGATGGGGTCAAAGTTGAAGAACTGTTTGAGTCATATCGTGCAGTTGACCGTACATGATCAATCACAACGCACAACCGTACACATAAGCCGTATTACGTCACTGGTTGTACCAAGTGACTAATTATTCAAAACTGAATGAATCTTTGAAAAGAACGTATCCACAAAATCCAACTCTTCGCAAAAAGCCGTAAATCTCATCTTTAGTGTGACCATCATCGCCATCTAGTGTCCTAGCTTGTCTATTACATTATTTGGCAGAATTGTGTGGACAAAGCTAACATCAGAGGAAAAATATATGTTAAAACATATCCAGAGTGATGTATGTGAAGCCATAAGTCTGTCATTTTGGTAGAAGCATAAACAGCCGTACTAAAAAAAAAAAAAAATCAATAATGTTATTTGAAAGCGTATTTATTAAACCAGAAGGATATGAGGCATTTTTGTTCCCTTACACTGGTCAACATCCACTAGTTATCTTATGGGGTATACGGTTACTGTGACCACACTTTATTGTGCATTAATGTGTTTAAGTCTGTTTTTCTTAGAGCACCTTATGAGTTTTGTAGTAAAAGTCCCTTAGTGGTGTCTCCTGAACAACTACTATCAATGCCACCGTGCCTTCTGTTTCAAGCACTTCCTGGTGTATTTTGTAAAACTCACCAAAAGCACTTAGCCGATATCTACACACTTTCTCTTCTCATTTTCTTCCATTTCTCTTCCGTCTGTTCATTGCATTGACTCATTTTCCTCCTCTTTATGACCCTTTGACCCTTCTCTCCAGTGGGAAGCTGTTCTTGCTATCAGGCCTGCTGGGCCTTAAACAAGGCCATTAGGCCTCATTGTTACCTTCTAGCATGGCTAGACTATAACATGGATTGAAAATGGACTAACCCTTAAAACCTTATGGATCGAGGGTTAGCATTTTTGTCTTAAATTAATTCCTGGTAAACCAAAGCCCAAGTCTTAGGACCCCTTCACACAGGATGATGACCTCCCTCTCCTCAACCTATATTGCCCTTTTAGAAAGTGGGCGCATTTAAACAAGTTTGAAAAACCTTCAGTGTGAAGGCAATCATGCCACGTCACAACTACCTAAATGCCATATTGGCTTTTCTTACGGGCAGCACGGGACACAGTTGATAGAGCCGCTGCCTCTCAGCAAGCAGGTCACCCCGGTCCAAATCCTGGTGGGGGGGCCTTTCTGGGTGGAGTTTGCATGTTCTCTCCGTGCATGCGTGGGTTTTCTCCGGATACTCCAGTTTCCTCCCACAGACCAAAAACATGCATGTTAGACTGATTGGTAACTCTAAATTGTCCCTAGGTGTGAGTGAGAGAGTGAATGGTTGTTTGTCTCTATGCGTCCCTGTGATGGACTGAGACCTGTCCAGGTTGTCCCCCATCTCTCGCACAGTGATGGCTGGATATGGGCAACAGTGACCCCCATGACCTGAAAAGGAAGAAGCGGGTAAAGATAATGGATGGATGGTTTTTCCTTACTATTTTTTCCATCCCTAAGATGGTCTCCTTCACCCTGCGCAAGTCTATCAGTTCATGAGGCCTGCAGGGCCCTGCCTCAAACTCTTAAAGACCACATTAGTCAGTGTGTGGGGGCCTGTAGCATAGATATGCTGCCACTGCACTCAAATACTCAGCTCAGGACCCCAGAACGCTATCACCACAACATTGTTACGGAAAATCTGCATGTTTAAAACTATTGTGGACCCATCACCCCCTACCATTTCAATACTATACAACAGAGGACTTTGCCAAGACTGCATAAACTATCCAGCTACTGGCTAACTTAGTACCTTCTATAGGAGCCATCATCCAGTCTCAAGGGGCATAAGACTGTGTTGTAAGGATGTTACAAAATATGTCCAACGTGACACTAAAAGGTATGAAAGCTTGAGAAAACTGAATAATTAACTGATTCAATCTTAGTTTCTTCTCTTTAATATTTTCTTTCTCTTTGTCCTCTGCTTACTCTTCCTCCATGTCCTCTTGTCCATAAACTGTCAGTCTTTAGCACCACTTGAAGGTGACGTGTACTATCTGGTATTGAGGCCTTTATGATTAGATTGGTTTTGTTTTTTGTTCATGTGGCGTGTTTGTTCGATGCCGTCGAGATGAAAAAATGCTCTTATAATGATAAGTATTATTGTTTTGGCATTATGGTTAAAATAATAAAAAAAGAGAAATGTGTTGTTGAATGTTGTACAGATAGCACTAGAGATGTTGTGTTTT